ATATATATATATCTCCAAGAAAATCTGCTGCCTAGCTCTCTTGACGCAGCATTTATTAGTATGTTTTTATATATATATATCTCCAAGAAAATCTGCTGCCTAGCTCTCTTGACGCTGCAGTTGTTAGTATGTTTTTATATATATATCTCCAAGAAAATCTACTGCCTAGCTCTCTTGACGCTGCAATTTTTAGTATGTTTTTATATATATATATCTCCAAGAAAATCTGCTGCCTAGCTCTCTTGACGCTGCAGTTGTTAGTATGTTTATATATATATCTATCTCCAAGAAAATCTGCTGCCCAGCGTCAAGAGAGCTACAGTTGTTAGTATGTTTTATCTTTTTTCCCAAACTTACCAAATATAAGCATAAATCCCAAAGCTGTGTAAATTGTTCCATACATTGTCAACCTGAGTTGTTATTAAAATGTCAAATTCCCCATTAATCCAGCTGCCGTACACTGGTCATTAAGCGACAACTGCTAAGCTGATACTGCACGGCTTACAAACGATTCACATCTACTCAATATCTTCTACAGCTCTAGTTGATCTTCGAGAGAAAGCAGACTAAGCGAGTAGATTGCTTGTTAGCGCCACATGCGGTGGACTGACGAACTACCTCTTTGTGGATCGTGATACGCTCGCTACTAATGCGGTAATCATTTGCCTTCCTGACCATCTCGTTCTGATTATGAGGCCATGAATAACAGGACAATGTTTCCCATGAATTATGTGCCACATAAACAACGAGTGTTAAAATGGAGATCGAATAACAAGTGAATTTATCATTTCTTTTGAGATTCATGTTTTCCAAGAAAAATGTATTCGGAACAAATACCGCCGAAGAAAAGAAAAACGAATTGCTAAAGAAACCTATTAAATAAATAAAAAATAATAATATATGAAATGTAACCTTATGAGCACAACTATAGGCGTATAAAGTAGATAATGTGGAGATAAAGATGAAAGTATCTCCTATGGAACGGAGAAAATGAATTGTGAAGTCAAAAATGTTGCATGCATTTTTCTTATATTAATGGCTTTATGTTTTTATTATGACATTTGATGATTATATGTATTAATTAAAAACAGGGTTTCATCATTGGGTATATTTAAAAAAAGTTTGTTACACGGAATCTTACATACACAACTGCCCATACTAAAGACCTGCAAATTAAAAACAAGCAAATAAAGGGAGCTGAAAAGTTAATCGAAGTTACCTTAGCATATCTGGCTAGTTGCTATATGTTAGAAACGATCGAAGCTACTAATAAAAAACGCCCAGAAAAACATCAACATTAAAGACATATGTAGCCATGTCATTCTTTCAAAAATAATGAAAAGTTTGACTCAGAAATTTAAAGTTTCTATATGATAGACAGTAAATGATAAAGTAAAACCACTTCTAGATTAACACAATATCCACAACAATCCTAGATAAAATATGTTTCACAAACACTATTATGCTATGATTAGAGTTGTAACTTTCTAATCACAACCAAGTATGTTTCGTACATGATTTGGCTAGGTACTGTCCATAGTAAAATATGTTTCACAAACATTATTATGCTATGATTAGAGTTGTAACTTTCTAATCACAACCAAGTATGTTTCGTACATGATTTGGCTAGGTACTGTACATAGTAAAATATGTTTCACAAACACTATTATGCTATGATTAGAGTTGTAACTTTCTAATCACAACCAAGTATGTTTCGTACATGATTTGGCTAGGTACTGTCCATAGTAAAATATGTTTCACAAACACTATTATGCTATGATTAGAGTTGTAACTTTCTAATCACAACCAAGTATGTTTCGTACACGATTTGGCTAGGTACTGTCCATAGTAAAATATGTTTCACAAACACTATTATGCTATGATTAGAGTTGTAACTTTCTAATCACAACCAAGTATGTTTCGTACACGATTTGGCTAGGTACTGTCCATAGTAAAATATGTTTCACAAACACTATTATGCTATGATTAGAGTTGTAACTTTCTAATCACAACCAAGTATGTTTCGTTACTCGATTGGCTAGGTACTGTCCATAGTAAAGTATGATTCCCAAACAAAATCATGCTGTTATTAGAGTTGGAACGTTCTACTCACAACCAACTATGTTTCGTAAACGATTTGGCTACGTATAGCCAACATTAAAGTATGATTCGCAAACAGTATTATATTATGATTAGAATTGGGCATCATACTCACAATCAATTATATTTCATAAACGAATTTGCTACGTACTTACTGTCTGCAGTAAAAACATACAAAAGACCCTCATTCTGCCGATAATAAACTGTTTTCATACATTTTTCACCTGATCTGTATTAGATACTTTTTAAACAATTCTTATGTGATGTCAACACACACAACACAGAAACTAATTGCCAATATCATTCATCTATATTGAAGACACCTGTTTTGACATGAAGCAAGGACTGTAAGAAACTTAATTTATCAATAAATGAAACAATGGGGAGTCTCACAACAAACCAGCTTAGCAAAGGTGTTATTCTAATAGATCAGGCGGAGACTATGGTGGGGTGTCACCTGAGAGTTAAATTTATGTGGATGGTGGATTCGGGTAGCAGATATACTGAAAAATTATGTTCTGTGTATTTGTCACACGAACGCTGCGGCAAAATGCTTGTTTTTTGTTAGTTTTATAGTGAGGCCTCCTTAGGTGTCGTCATTTTTCAAACCTTTTTATAGCAGTTTTTCGGGTAATATTTTCATGAATATATAAGATGCTAATACAAGTGTGATTCCAATGAATAGCCAAATATGCATACATATAATTATAAGTCAATTAGGTCAATGCTAAAAGTCATAGACTTAACTACCTACTCCCCGCCTCTTAATTTTTGGGAAATTTCGGAATAGTTTCCTATCATATCATGTTTACTGGCTTCTGTTGAGTTTTTTAGTAAAACATTTGGCCCTATTAAAAAGAGAAAGGTACCTGCAATCGAATGCATATCTATTTTTTATGTTTCTAAAGAAATATAATATTATAAAATGAGAAAAATTAATAAATAACCATCTGTGAAGTATTTGGACCATAACCTTTACGTTATATGAGATAAAAGTACAACTAAGGCACAGATGGATAGTCGAGACACAACGCTGAACGGGAATATGCACAGGCTTTAGTTTATGTGCTTGACATAGCGAACTTAGCTTTAACTCTTACATCTTATCTCTTGTTTTTGGTTGTACCCAGTGTATAATGTTCCTTCATGCTAGTTTTTGATACTTCAGTAATTTACTTAACTGTGGCCACTTGTTTCTTACAGGTCAGACCTTCCGAGGTCTGGCTTACCTGGTGGTTCGAGTACTAGATTCGCCATCTGTGGGTTGCGGGTTTGAATCTCATCTCCGAACATGGTCGCCCTTTCAGCTGTAGAGATGGTATAATGTAACGGTCAATACCACTATTCATTGGTAGAGAGTGTTGCGTAATACAGTATATCCCGGACGAGCCTCTAATATATTATGTAACGTAATATAACTTCGAATAGCCTGAAACTGAATTAAATGATAATTTAGATTTAGAAATTAAATAAATGTCGATATGTATCCAATTTATGATACTTGCCAACATGATTGATACACACAGTTTTTTTTTAATACAAATATATTTTAATATACAAACACTAACACAATTTACAATAACGGCTATTACAGATAGTGATCTATTTACAAAAGTTTACATACTTACAAACAATATTTAGTACTCTATCTGGTCTGGAACTTCCTTGGTATCTTATCGAGAGTTCGCGATGAACAAATTAATTCTGAGTTGATGTAAATACAATTCACTTAACAGCTAGGTCTGTTCTTCGTTCTTCATCGGCCACACACGCCGAGTTATCCACTGATGAAGTTATATAATGTCCGATGTGAATCCGCTGAAGTTAATAGTTTGTAATATTCGAAATCTCTAAATGTTCCTGGTCAAATATTCGAAGTTACCGATTAATAAGCGTTATAACAATCACAGTTATAGCTTCCAAAGTTTATAACACCAACTATAGCAAACCAATAATATATACTGTCTTTTGGCGCCTTGCGTTCGTTATATTTATAGGCGTGAGGAGAATTTCTCGAAATTTCAGCTTACACAACAATACAAACGATACACCAGTGTTTAAGTACACACATACATTGTTGATTCTTATACTCGAGAATTATCTACAATTTTAGTGAATAGGCCGGAATTTCGCAATACAGACTTAGCAATATAAGTTATGTACATTTCTAAATATCGATATCAAAATAAATATAGGATCGTAAATCCGTCAAAAGAGTAGCCTAAGAGTTGGCGGTGGATGGTGTTGACTAGCTGACTATACTTCAAAATTAAGGATGACTAGCGTAAGCAGCCCTCGAGTAGCTTCGCGCGAAATTCAACAAACAAACAAATTATCGACTTTCCGAATATAAAGAAAAAATTGACGAAAACACAAACACCCACATATACACAGAATATTATTTACAATGTATAAACACTTACAGTTCTGTATGTGTTGCTCTTGCGGTTGTACTGTAACTAAGGCTTAGCAAATCAGATAAACTGTTATGTAACCACGGCTTAATATTAGACACTTAACTGAATTATGTATCAATAATAAAGAAAAGTTGCCGCTATTTGGTGTTGTTTTATCTTATAATATTGTAGTATGTAAACAAATTCTCATATTTCTCCAACATGTTTTATTTTGGAAAAAAAAAGATATTAGTACAACATTATTTGTTAGACTGCTTGAATATATAGTTTTATTTTTAATATTTATTACTATTATACTTCTATTATAGAGATTGTGCTTTGCATTGTTAGCTTATTATATGAACTTAGGGCTAACCTATATCTCCTAAGCTGGCAGAAACTCTTGAGACAGTATTGGGTTTACGGCCCAAAATATCATTAGCAGCAAGTATGCCTAACTAAAGAAGCAACGTATTCTAATATTTATAAGTAAAAATGTAAAAAGTATATTCAATTAGCTATACTCATTTACCAAGTTGGTATTTAGTTTTGCTTTTAGTAGGTAGCTTGCTTTGATCGTAAGTTAATAGTAATTATTTACCATAATCAAATCACCTTTCACGTAAAGTGGAAAGTATTTTCATGCTACAATCAACACAGAAACAAGAGTATTGTTATACTCCCTCAAAACAGGAACAAAAGTTTCAACGGAAACGTTAAGTGGGCAATGTAATGTTTAAAAAAAAGTTGACAGTATTAAAAAAAAGAAGTTTAGTTGTGGTTCGTCTGTTCTCTTACCAGGTAGAAGCCGTCTCAAAGCTTCATGTACATCTAGATCCTGTCATCATGATAACCGATATTCCAGTAATTTTAATGGCACTCTTTCCAAAATGTGTAAAATGGCCACAGTAACAGGAGAAACATCTTGGATATTGGCAGATGTGAAATGACTATTTCAGCCAAGAAACAATGGTAGGATTCAGTGCATTCACAAACAAAGGATATTTGTCCTCATTGTTCCGAAAGAGCAAACGTATTTTCTGGACGTT